TGCCCATAAGCTATTTTCTGTCTTACAAGGTAAATTAGGCCTTGGTACTTAAGCAAAGTTTCCTTGGGATCCTTTTACAAAAGAAAGTGCTACCATCTTCATAATTTCAAATTCCAAGAAATTTCTAATGAGTAAAATGAAAATTATAATTAGATGATACAAATGGAACTTGACACTGCAGTTCTTCAAAGACCAGGTTAGCATTTTATTTTTCTATTACTGACAGTCAGATTCATACAGGGTGAAAAGATAATAGAACATAATCAAAATAACATACAAACACAATTCAAGAACATTTAACCATCTATCATAATCATTCTTTGTAAAATATATAAAAGTAAACAGAAACATCTTTATATAAATTATGCTTAACAATCTGTATACACTGTAAACCAATTGTTAAAACTCACACTAAGATGCTAGTGCAAGCAGTGGTGTACAAAAGTGCAAACAAAGTTAGTGATGAACAACTTATCACCGACTTACCACTCCAACATACTCTACACTCAGCCAAATACTGAGGGCCTCACCACTGAAACATTTTTATCACTTTAAAGTAACTTGACTACATTCATCCTGAGTGCTCTTGCCTCAATATGGCAATGGATTATGAGTTCAGGTCAGGAGCAGCACCAGGGAATACAGAAACCCATGTGAAGTTGGCCATTCTAAAGTGAATCTTTATACTTGATAATGAAAACAATTCTGAAGGAAACCTATATGTCAAAAGGTATAAAACTGTCAATCACCTTTACCTCAAAATATTTAAAACTAAAACTGAATTTAATTTCCCACTTAAAATGTAACCTGAAGAATCTATCCACTCCAGCACAGTTTTTCCAAAAATAATTCTGCATGAAATCAATCGAAAGACTTTCCCATTTCTGTCCTAAAATCCATTTGGGGCAGGGGAACTCCTGAAACAATGGAGTTTAGTTTGGATAACTTTGATTATCTTGGATTCTAATTTAAAAGTGTGGTCATATCCCTGAACAATCAACCAGTAGATTAAACATATTAGCTACTTAATATTCTAAATTATGAGAACAAAAATTAGTTGGTTCAGAACCGCACCTTCGATGAACTAGATTCCCTTCATGTTCAGGGATCTTTTAAACCAAGTATTGGTTGGGGGCCTATGAAAGGGGATGGTTGTAGGGTTCAAGAGTGGAAACTCTGTTTGAACAAAGTCCCAATCACTTTACACAGAAGCTCAATCACATATTTTAAGAGCTTGTTCTTTAGTTGTTGTTAAAAAGCACTAACTTGCATTTCAAAAGGAAGGACAATAACGGAAATAACCAGAAACATCAACATGCATCTTTGAGAATCTAGTCCTTAATTGAAGATATACCATTTTCTGAACTCTCTCATATTTATAGCAAAAGCTCTGGTGTTTGTATTAATACAGGCTACCTTTAATCCTCAGTTAATTTTGCATTAAGGAATTTACATTTGCTAATCTTGATTTTGTTTATGCTTTCTTGAAGATTTTTTGAAGCTTTATCAACTTTTTTTTAGTTGAGTTCATTTCTTAAGGTCCTATTTAAGACAGTGTAAAAAAAAAAACCAATGAGAATAAAAAGATGAAATCACATACAGTCACATTGGTGGCAATTCCATCCCTTCCTCTCTCCAGCATAACAGAACAGCAACATATCTAAGGGAAGATCAAGCATCAACTGATGACCTGCTCAGGCCAGGCCTTATGCTAGGCACTGAGACTACCAAGTGCATTAAGAAGGGACATGTCCTTAGGAGCTACATGGTGACTGCCTTTTTTCTGCTTCTTTGTAAGGAACATAAGCCCTCATGATCCAAACAGTCATCATTCAGTACAGGAATAAAACTCTGAAAGGTGTTAAAACATAGTCTATTTGAGAAAATGGTTTGGGAAAGCAACCCACGCTGAAATACAGGGTGTCCAGCAAAGAGAAAAGAAAGAGGGAAAACTCGGCCACTTCCTTAGCATCAAACTCTAAGGTGGTTGTTGTTGTGGGCTGTCGAGTTGATTCTGACTCATAGTGACCCTAAAGGACAGGGTAGAACTGTTCCATAGGGTTTCCAAGGAATGGCTAGTAGATTCAAACTGTGGACCTTTTGGTCAGCAGCCTGAGCTCTTAACCACTTCACCATCAGGGCTCCAACTCTAAGGTACTACATATATAATCTGGTTTAGCACACTTTCATCTTTGGTGGCTGTTGTAATCCCACGTATTCAAAATAGGACTGTAAAACTTAGCAAATGAAAATACAGGACACTCAGTTAAATTAAATTTCAGATACATTTATTCATTCCTTGTCTGAAATTCAAATTTAACTGAGCATCCTGTATTTTATCTGGCAACTCTAATTAGGAATTATCTCTGTATTTATCGACGCAATCCATCATCAACTTTTTACATATGTTTAAAATGATCCAAATAATACACTCTAAACTGAACACAAGGTATTTCGAGAGACTTTCCTCTTTATATAAGCTATTCTCGGTGTATCTGGTCAATTTTTATTTGGCAATATATCCTTGCAAACTTCAGTTATGTCACCTACCATGTCACTAACAGGACTGAAATGTCACATTAAGTCACATTCCAAATACAGACTTTCAGAATATGTAAACCTTTCCTCTGATACTCTCAAATCATGTCAACTAGAAGTATACTGTTTTTATTTTGGAACTTGTGAAAATGCTGGGTTTTTAATGTGGGAGATCACTTTGTAGAAGGAAAGAAACACTATTATCACAGCTATCACCCTATTTTAATGATTTACAAGTAGTTTACATGCTGGAAAGTACTATAGAGAAGTGTGAGCCAGTTGAAAACTAAAGAAAAGAAACAATATTCTGTCTTTATGTTGTAAACCACAGGAAGTTTGTATATGCAGGCAGGCACATAAAACTAAAATTTAGATCTATGAAGGCAATATCTAAATTTGTACATCTTTGGCACTCATACAAAGATACTAGTTTAACTAAATCAATGGTGAAGAATGTTTTTTTCATATTCTTTAGGAAATGTATACGTCCAAATTAAAAAATGCTAAAGTCTCCATTCTAAAAATTGACTGAGATAAAGAGAAACTGGAATCTATCAATTTAACCAGTTATGATCCGAAAGTGTAATTAACAGCAATCACTGAAATGGATGTGAAATGATCTCCAAAAATCTAAAAGTGTGCTGAGACTTTATGCTTACAGAGTTTAAGATTTTAAAAACAGCAATAAAAAAATCTTTTGAACACTGCCTAATTTATATGGAATCCAATCTTACCTTGCATACAGCTGTGTTAAAAACAAAATTTACCTATGTTCCAATACTAACATTTACCCCCGAAATACTCCCCAGGTGCACACACCCGCACATACATAGAACTGTGTATGTTTTCCCATGTGCTTCTACTGTTTCTACTGCTCTCTTAATATGCTTTTCCTGAAGGGGAACAGGGACCCAGTGCGTGTGCTCTGAAGGGATTCTCAGCACTACACAGTAAGCCCAGTGGCTAAGGAGCTCTGTAGACCTATCCCCCTAAAACAGAGAGGAAAGTTGGTTGCTGCTAAGCGTAGTTTCATTTCTAGAGGCTCAGGCCATAAGAATCTCTTACCATTGGGAAAATACCCACAGTCTAGCTGTGGTCCGCAAAGTGACTTATTTGCTTCTTTGGCCCTAGTATCAGACTAGGATGAGGGTTCTAGAGCAAGGTATTTTGTACCAGGAAACATTTTTCCTCATTATAGGAAATACTTGAAGAAAGGCATTTGTCTCAAGTTATTAATGACAGATACCATCAACAAGAGGCAGTTACTATTTTAATACGGCTTAGTTCTATTTAGTCTTTAGGAGCGAGTAATTTAAGCTTAATCAACAGGCTGACATGTCATTTTCTACTTTTTCCTTAGTGCTACTGATGTTTCTAGGCAGGTAGGAAGCTCTTTATTTTCATTTAGAAAAAAACTGAAAGTGAAAAAGAGTAGCCAACTTACTAAAACCAAATGTCACATTAAGAAATGACCCTGTCAGTTTAGCTCCTACAATAAAATAACCAGTAATTCCTTCCAGTCATATTCCTCAATCCTTATCCGCTTCGTGGGTTACATTACCAATGGCAAAAAAGACTAACTCTGACTTGGAGAATGGCTACAGAAAACACTAATTTTGATATTAAAATTATTCTTGATGGAACTGGAGCAATTTATTCTCAATGGAATTGGTTAAATATACTATAAAATACTTGGTTTAACAGAAGAAAACACTCTTTGATAGTTACGAGGGTGGGGAGGGAGGGAGATGGGTATTCACTAACTAGATCGTAGGTTAAGAGTTATCTCAGGTGAAGGGAAGAAAAACACACAGTACAGGGGAAGTCAGCACAACTGGACAAAACCAAAAGCTAGGAAGTTTCCTGAATAAAACCAAATACTTCGAGGGACAGCGTAGCAGGGCGGGGGGTCTGGGGACCATCGTTTCAGGGGACATCTAGGTCAACTGACATAACAAAGTTTATTAAGGAAATGTTCTGCATCCCACTTTGGTGAGTGGCATCTGGTGTTTTAAAAGACAGAAAGGACCACATAAACCAGAGACTCCATCAGCCTGAGACCAGAAGAACTAGATGGTACCTGACTACAACCAAAGACCGCCCTCCTGACAGGGAACACAACAGAGAGTCCCTGATGGAGCAGGAGAAAAGTGGGATGCAGAACTCAAATTCTAGTAAAAAGACCAGACTTAATGGTCTGACTGAGGCTGGAGGAACCCCGGAAGACATAGTCCTCGGACTCTCCATTAGCCCAGAACTGAAACCATTCCTGAAGCTAACTCTTCAAGATTAGATTGGACTATGGGACATAAAATGATACTCGTGAAGAGTGTGCTCAAGTAGATACAGGCAACTAAATGGGCAGCTCCTGTCCAGAGGCGAGATGAAAAGGCAAAAAGGGACAGGAGCTGGCTGAAGAGACACAGAAAATCCAGGGTGGAAAGGAGAAGTGTGCTGTCACATTATAGGGAGAGAAGCCAGGGTCACATAGTAATGTGTGTATAAATTTTTGTATGAGAAACTGACTTGAACTGTAAATTTTCACTTTAAAGTACAATTTAAAAAAAAACAAACAAACTTGGTTTATAATCAAGGGAGAAACCTTAAGCTTGAGTCTTTAAAAATACATATTTGGCACTTACCTTTCATCTTATCTTACTAATTATGGGCACCTCAGACATACGGAAAAAAGAATTCAATGAAGAGACCACATTCTTAGGAAATTATAATACTTCAGAAAAACTACCTAAAATTTTATTCCTAAGTCTATCAGTGAGGCAAGCATTATACCTAAAACAAAAGCCTTTTTGCTACAAAGGTAAGAACTAGCTTAGAGTAACTAAAAAATAAGAAAATTAAAAACAAGCATTCATTTTCTTGCTACCAAGAAATAAAATATGCTAAGAAAAGCAAAAGAGGTATAGGATCAGAACAAAATCCCCACACATCTCAGTGACGACTGAAGCAGAACAGGCTGTTTCTTTTTCCTAGGATATGCAGTCCTCCACAAAGAAACTGTGCCCAAGACTCTACTTGTTGCTTGCCCTGGGGAATACCATTAAATGTAAAGAGACTGGGAGTGCCTCTAGATGTGGAGAGCCCATGCCTATAACTACTTTTGGTGACAACGCATAGATTATCAAACCTGGTACCAATAAAATTGAAGCACTTCCTAATTAGACCACTGAGATGAAGGTATTAAACCAAAAAACCAAACCTATTGCCATTAAGTAGATTTCGACTCATAGCAACCCTACAGGACAGAGCAGAACTGCCCCATAGGGTTTCCAAGGAGCGGCTGGTGGATTTGAACTGCTGACCTTTTGGTTAGCAGCTGAATGCATAACCACTACGCCGCCAGGGCTCCGAGACGAAGCTACAGAGCCTCCCAAACCAAGAATCAACCTTGTGTTGTACCAGTAGAAGTGTTTTTTTGTTTTCAGAAGGCTGATCTCAAAGGGATTAAGACATGGACCCCATCAGCACTGGTCATGGTAGCCTTACTGATAAAAATACACATGATTCAGAGATAAATATGGTAACAGGTGCAACAAACCACAACTGTGTTCCTGGTAAATGCAAAAGCCTCTAAAGGCTTAAACATTATTCTAAATTTTCTGAAGCAACCTTCTTTCCCAGCAACCCTCTGATATGTGTAATATTAAATATTCAAATTTTCAGAGTCTACTAGCTAGATAAGACACATTAAAATGAAACATTTGCCAAACATTATAGTTTGTTTTATTGCATGACGTTTGCATAAGAAAAAATATTGCTGAAAACTGTCAGGCATCATGCAATCATTGATGAGCTAATTATTAACTGTACTTTTAAGACAAGTGGACATATAATCTAAAATTTTAAAACTAGTTCCAAAAAAGTACATAAAAAATTTAACATGATGAGCTTTTAATTATGGTTTATAGTTGTAGTTTTATGTTGTTAAAAAGCGCTTCAAATGTACTGCTGGAAAGTTGTTCTTTATAAATGGCACTGGGGGTAAGTCGGATTACAAACCATAAAAACGAGTTATTTTTATGGAATTAGAAAGCTAACATTGTGATATTCAAACCTACTTGAATCAGTTTTCAATTTTCACTCAAATTAAGTTGATAAAATATTAATAGTCTACAAAAATCTGTTTTATAACCAACAAAAGTCTATTGAATTCAAGTTATGTATGCTAAGTGATCAAACCTCTGAGGAGGCCTGAATGGTGAGACCTGGAAGCCATGTGGGTTAGTGTTAATTGATGTACTGTGCCATCCAGCGGAAACCTTCTCCATAGCCTTGTCTTTTGAGCACACTGCACATGAAGACTTCTAAGGGTCGGGCATTTAGTTCTTTCAGAGATACGTTGCCCTAGAAGAGAAGACAGATACTATGTTGAGAGACCCCTTTATAAAATAAAAGATCCAGTCCCCGGTAGAACTGCATGTTATACACCTTAGAACAAGGGCGACTGTGATAAAGCCATGGTTGCTAGGTGTCCAAGTCTGCTAAATACACAGGAAGCCTCCTCTGTCAGTCTACCTTCGGACAGGATGGTCACTCACTGAAAAAGAGGTGAGTTTGTGAGGCACACAAGAATAAAAAATAATCTGACTTATACTGAATGTTTTGATCAAAGATTCAATAGCAGAATCCTGATCAAAAAGGGGAAAATGCAGAAAAGAATTTCAAATTATCATGGAATCCAAACTTTCTGGAGCCACTGAGGCTTGATGAACCCCTGAAACTATTGCCCTAAGATAATCCTTAAAACTTAAACCAAAAATGTTACCTGAGTCTTCTTTAAACCAAGCAATACAAAAACGAAAAACAAAAACCACTGCCGCCAAGTCAATTCTGACTCATAGTGACCCTACAGGACAGAGTAGAACTGCCCCATAGCATTTCCAATGAGTGGCTGGTAGATTTCAACTGAGCTCTCAACCACTGCACCACCAGGGCTCCTGAATTATCTCCTGAAATCTTCTTAAAACCAAGCAATAGTTTACCTTAATTAGTAAAGAAAGTCTGCCTTGAGCACTGTGCTCTTTTAAGAACTATCTATATGGGATCAAAATGACAACGGCAACTCAAAAGATTATATAAGAGTATACTAAACCAAGGAAATTTTGCTTGTAAACGCTGGTGTTCTTCCATTGTTTATCTGGGATTTTTCAATACCAAGAGTATTTTCCCCTTTAACGAATTCTAGTAAAAATGAACACAAAATTCCCTGGGGTCTTTGTTCTCTGAGCAACAGAGGAAGAAGAAGTGTCAGGAATAGAAGGAAGATATGGAATGTGTGGCTAATTGCCTCCATGAACAACTGCCTCCTTTGCCATGAGACCAGAAGAACCTGATGATGCCCAACTACCAATACTGAACATTTTGATCAAAGATTTTATAGAAGAATCCTGATCAAAAAGGGGAAAATGTAGAAACAGAATTCTACATTCTCATGGACTCTAGACTTCATGGAGCAATAAAGTTTGGATGAACCCCTGAAACTACTGCCCTGAGATAATTTTTAAATCTTAAACCAAAATTATCTCCTGAAATCTTCTTAAAACCAAACAACAATTTAGTTTAACTAGTAAAAAATGTCTGCCTTGAGCAATAAGCTCTTTTAAGAATTATCTATACAGAATCAAGTTGACAATAACAACTTAAAAGATTAGACAGGAACCTTAGGGGGCAGTGAATTTATGTTAATGAGGGAAGAACAAATCAGAAAAGTAGGGTGAGGATGGTTGCACAACTCGAAGAATGTAATCAATGTTACTAAACGGTACATGTAGAAACTTTAATTGGTGTATGTTTTGCTGTGTATATTCTCGAATACAGCAAAATGAAATTGAAAAAAAAGATTTTAGCATATTTCATATCTTTTCAGACTCAGGTATTATAAACCAAGTTGAATAAAATTTTCCAAGTCAAAAAAAAAAAAGAACAAAAATAATGTGTCTTAGTTTATTATAAAATGTATAGTTCAAAAATCCCAAATACTCATGCCTATGTTTATGTCTTATTTATCCCTAGTGCACACAGGACCTAAACACTGAACTGTACTGTTTACACAATTATTAGTATGTTTAAACACTCAAATATATTATTTGGTGGCTAATTCTGAAAATTTATCATAAATAAACTTCAAAAGCTTTAATTAGTTCCCCATAAACACTAGTCTTGGGCATAACTGAGCCTGGGCTGTTTTGTTATCACCATGAAAAGATTTCATACAGTGGTAGAAAGTAATGAAGATGTTAAAAAAAGACCCAATGGTACAAATGACAGTTTTTCTTCAAGAAAAAAATAAATGATAATGGGCTTGTGTAGTTGGGACAATAGTATTTAAAGAGACATTTGTACCATAGAGTGAAAAACTTCCACTTGTCAAAAACACTTTTTTTCTTACCTTTCCTGTTGTCTGACCATATAAACCGAACATCTCTCGTAACCTCTCTTCACTGATAGCTTCAGGTCTGTCGATCTTATTCCCAAGAATCAGGATAGGCACATTAGCAGTAGTTTCATCTGTCATTAGTGACTGAAAAACAAAAAAAAAAAATAAGAAATGGATACGAAATCATCTAAAGGGCTTATTCTGACAAGACACCAAAACAGTCAAGGACTCATTCTCTACCATATCATGTCAGCTTTGCCAATTTTCTTTGGCAAACTTTCCCTATGTTTTAAAGTGAGGAAAACGAAACCAAAAATTCATTTCTTCTGTCTTCCTAAGGCTGTTTCTGTGAATGCTCACTCTACTCACTCCGCAAATTAGTGAGGTACAGTGGTTAGAGCCAATACCTTGGAAGTGGGCAGACCTGGTTTAATTTCTGGTTCTGCTGTTTCTGAGTTGTGTGACCTTGGAGAAGTTAGCCTCACCAAACTTCAGACAGAACTGGGAATAGTAGCACCTACCTTATGCAGTTGATTTGAGAATTAAATGAGGTAATATATGCATAGTGCCTGGCACAAAGTAGAAACTCAGGATTTCCCTAACTTTGTTCCATAACCACAGAACCTACCTGGCCTTTTCCACATGAACAAGTATTTGTTTGCCTGCTCGTGACAGGGGCATGGTCAGGTCAACCTGCAGTCAAATAATCAATCTATTTTCTCTGTGGCCCCAGCTCTAGTGCTGGCCTTGTCTCTGCTCTGGAGACCCTTTAGGAAACATCTGGTCAAGGCAAGAGAAGGTGAAGTGAATATACATGCCACTGCTCACTCCTAGGAGTGGTGACAAAGATGGTATGTCATCCAGGTTCTGGTCAACTCCTGAAAAAACTGACATCTAAGGATGACCAGGGACTCAAACCAACCCACTCCAGGAATGTAGCAGACAATACATACTATAAGGGCATACTCTGCACAGGGTGAGCTCTTCCAAGTCTTCAGGAAGGAAGTCTGTGTTAGTGCTTCATCTATAGTTACAATTATTCCAAGTTACTCTCGTAGCATTCTAAGTAATCACTACTTAAAGCAATTATTGAGCTCATCAAATTGCTAGGAGTTACATCAGAGACTGCAGAAAAAGCTGCACTCTGAAACCTACATCTCCAGACTATCTCCTTAGGCTTACCGGACTGATTTAACTGTTTAGTTTTAGTTATTTAACTTACATCAAGTTCTTCTTTTGATTCTAACAGCCTTTCATGGTCTGCACAATCCACCAGAAATACAATGCCATTGATAGCAGGAAGGTAGTTTTTCCACACTCTTCGAGCTAACAAAAACAATCAGGAGTTAGATTTTATTTGCTGGTCAAACCTAGCAGCTGGTTTGATGGAAGAGCCCTACAAGACAACAAGTGTAGTTAACCCTTAGCTGTTGCTACTTCACTATACACCTACTCCTCATTTACTATCTCGTTATCTGACACTTTGCATTTACGACATTAGTAAAAAATCTACTGTCCAACTATTCTGCACGTTAATGACATACATCTGGCAGTAACAAATGCCAAGGTGCAAGGTGGGAATAATGCTGACTATGATGGTTAAGGTTATGTGTCAACTTGACTGGGCCACAATTCTCAGTGGTTTGATAGTTATGTAATGATACAAGCTGGCAGTTATGTAATGATGTGGTCATCCTCCATTTTCACATAATGCAGATTTTCACATAATGACTTGGTCTTTGGAACCTACCCATGTCACTAAGTGAGGAGTGGGTGTATACTCAAGTTAATCTTTTACCCGATGGTACCAGAATCTTTCTAGAAGACCATAAAAAATTTCAAAAAAAATTTGTGGGCAAGACAAATAACTTTACACTGCCCCAATTTTCCCATATGAGAAGTAAAATTAGTATTTGCTACCATTAGACAATAATGCACATTAAGTTCATTGGAGGACTGCCACTATATAAATCTAAAATATGTTGTTGTCATTGAGTCAATTCCAACTCATGGCGACCCCACGTGTGCAGAGTAAAACTGTTCCATAGGGTTTTCAAGGCTGTGACCTTTCAGAAGCAGAACACCAGGCCAGTCTTGGGAAATTTAAATATAAATAGTTAAAAAAATATACATACATATGAATGTATGTATGTATATATGCAGTATTCTTTTTTTTACAGCTCAAGTTAATTTGTCATACAAAAATTTATATACACATTGTTTTGTGACATTAGTTGCAATCTCCACAATGAGTACTCATTTTTTTGACATTTCTAGTGTATTAGTTTTTTGCCAGTGATAAATTTGAAGTCAGTGACAGAAGGAAATTCGTATTAGATAGAGGCTTGTTAAGTTTAACAAAAGCAAACTGCTCTACTCATAACAGAAAACAAGCTCCATATTAATAATTCAAGTCATGAAACCATAAAGAGATTTTTTTTTCCAGGACACACCTTTTTAGAGGATAAAACTGTTTTGGGGGTACCCCAGGGGAAAAAAATCTGTTTTTCTGTGACTTGAGTTTTATGACATACTTTGAAACAATATAGTAATGAAGTCTCAGACAAACTCCATTAGGTTCCGATTCTTTCTAATCACTGTATTCTAGAAATCATATATATTTCAAACAATCCTTATGTCTCAAATGCAACCGCTTTCATTAGCCACAACCACTTACAATCTTTTCAACTATATATCAGGTTTTTGGAACACCCAACAACTCTGTAATACTTATTAGTTATCACATATTATGTGCTGGGCACTGCCAAGTACTTCTGGAGATAAAAAAGATGAGTAGGATTTTAGTTCCAGAAAGTTTTGTAGAAGAGTCTTCTCAAACTTGTTCTAGACATGCACACAAGTGTGCTAAGTGCTACAGAAGTACAGCTGAGAGCACTTCTGCTTGGGAGTGGCTTCCCAGGGAAGGTAGCAGCACTTATATTGGGCCCTAAAGGGCTTACTCATGTGCAGATAGGGATAGCATGAGCAAAAGCACACAGGTGGCAGAACACCAAGAAGGTTTGGTTTGGTTGGGGCAAAGAGAATAGGAGGGGGAATAACTGGAAATGTAAGACTAGAAAAGTAAACGGAGATCATTTCTTAGAGATCCTGAATGCCAGTGAGTTTGGCCTCTATTCTGTAGGTAATGAGTGAGCCACTGAAGGGTTCTTTATGGAGCAGTAGCATGTTCAGAATTGTGATTATGACAGTAAGAGGTAGACTGCAGCAGAGAGAATGGGATAAATTTGACTCGTATGCTTTACCACCAAAAGCGATTCAGAATTAAATAAACTGACCAGAGAAAGTATCATGAAAATCAGCCTTTGCTTTTAAAACATTTACCTAGGGGTAATAATTAATAATTCCTCAGGAGTTCCTAGGTAACTCCTAAAATTTAAGTTTACTCTGGCCTTGTTTGAACAGAATGAGATTTCATGCACTGGAACATAATGGTCACATTTTTATTAAGTTGAAATAGAACAAAGTGACTATAAAAGTAGTAGAATCTTACCTTGAACATGTCCACCCAGATCAAAAGTTGTAAAAGTCATGCCAGCAATGGTCAGTTCTTCCGAAGCTAAGTAACAATAAAAAATATTTTAACAACATGAAAATCACAAATCCACTAATGGAATATATTACTACTTTGTCTGACTTACTTAATTGTAAACAAGGTCAAGTCAAACATTTAGGAACTGATAAAAGAATGATTCATTGTAATCAGATGTATTTCAATTCATACTGATGATATAACACAATTACTAATAATATTAAATTCTGGTATTCACTACCCACCACAAATCTGACATTTACTTAGTTTTCCCTCTCTGTCCCTCCTGCTGAAAATACTGATCTATTCAGACAACTACTTGCTGTGAATTCACATGACCGCTTCAATCCAATAATTTTTCATGTAATTCCTCTTAAATGTCTCCTGTGAAATATTTTCTCTCATGACTGCCATCTTTTACAGGTAACACTAACGATAAACACAATAATAATTTTAAAATTTGGCCATTATTTCTTCAAATATTCTTCTGTCTTCCCTCCCTTCTCCTGGGACTCCAATTACAGGTTTGTTATACCACTTGCTCTGTTCAGTTTTTGTCCAGTCATTTTTCTCTTGTGCTTTATTCTGTATAGTTTCTATTACTATGACTTAAGTTCACTGGTCTTTCTTTCTGCAGTACTGTTGTTAGGTGCTGTCGAGTCAGTTTCAACTCATAGTGACCCATGTACAAGAGAACAAAACACTGCCCAGTCCTGTGCCATCCTCACAATCACTGCTATGGCTGAACTCATTGTTGTAGCCACTGTGTCAATCTATCTCATTGAGTGTCTTCCTCTTTTTCGCTGACCTTCTACTTTACCAAGCATGACGTCCTTTTCTAGGGACTGGTCCCTCCCTACAGTACTGGTACTGTCTAATTTACTGTTAATCCCATCCAGTGAAATTTTAATTTCAGGTATTATATTTTCATCTCTAGAAGTTCCATCTGGTTCTCTTTTATACCTTCCATTCTCTTTCCTCATTGCATTCATGTTTTCTTTAAATCTTGCTGCACTATTCATAATAGCTGTTTTAATGTCCCTTTTAATTCCATCATCTTTGTCACTTCTGGGTCTGTTTCTACTGATTGATTTTTCTCCTGGTTATGGGTCACATTTTCCTGCTTCTTCGCATGTAATTTTAGATTGGATGCTGGATTTTGTTTCATTCCTTTAAAGAAAGCTGGACTTTGTTCTGGTAGGCAGTTAATTACTAACGGATCAGTTTTTAAGTTCTGATAGGGCAGATCTAGAGTAGCCTTTACTTTAGGGCTAGTTTAGCCCCATTACTAAGGTATGATCCTGCTGGGGTCTCTATTGAATGCCCTGTGTATTCAACCAGGTTTCTCCATTCTGGCAGCTGGGAACTTGAATAAATCCCAGCCCCATGTGTGCTCTAGGAGTTATTTGGCTAATAGCTCCCCTAGAATTGTTTTCTCTCTGGAAATTGTTCTTTGACTGGCTTTGTGGAATTCTGCCCTACACATGCAGATGGATATTCACCCAGGCAAATTTCTGGAGTTTTTTCTCTGCAGCGCTTTTTCCTCTCCGGTATCCAGCAAATTCTAGTCATCTTGGTCTCCCCAAGTCTGGTCTTGACTCCTCAACTCAGCAAGACTACTGGGTTCTGTTTGGGTTTCCTCTCATTGCACCTGGCATAAAGCTGGCATAAAAAAGGGCTTGTTTTCCTTCTCAGGAATCACAGTCCTGTGACAGCTATTGCCCAATACCTGAAAACAACCACAGTATATAGTTTTGTCCAGTTTTCTCTAGTTCACAGCGGGAAGGTAATTCCAGACCCTGTTACTCCCTCATGGCCAGAAGCCGAAGTCTCCCATAATGACAAGGAAAGCTTCAGTGTAACTGTTTTAGTCCCAGAGTAGTTTATCTTGTTAAGAAATTCTGTATATTAACTGCCAGCTGAACAATTAATACAATCTGTGTTCAAATCATTATCCATAAGGAAAAGAAAATGCTTAGATGTGGCTGGCAAACTACCTCTATGGCCATAATCCCCAATACACTCTCAGCTTTATAAAAGAAGTTTAATTAAGACAGAACATTTTTAACATCCCAGAAAATTCCCTCTTGCCCCTTCCCAGTTAATCCCTACCACTACCCCCAGAAACAACCACTGATCTAAATTCTATCACCATAGGTTAGTTTAGCCTATTCTAGAATTTCATATAAATGGCATTATACAGTAAGTTTTTGTGACCAGATTCCTCCATGAGCATAATATGGCTATGTCAATAGTTTGTTTCTCATTATTGCTGAGTAGAATTCCATTGTGTAACCATTCTCTTTTGGATGAACATCTGGGCTTCCAGTTTTTGGGCTATTACAAATAAAGCTGGTATAAACATTCTTGTACAAGGCTTTTGACAAACGTACGTTTTCATTTCTCCTGAATAAAAACCTAGGAGTGGAATTGCTAGATCATAGGGTAGATGTATGTTACTTTTTCACATATGCTTTTTTCCCCTAAATCTTATTTATGTTGTTGTTGTTACTGAGAATATACACAGCAAAACATATACCAATACAACAGTTTCAACATAAACAATTTAGTGACACTGATTACATTCTACAAGTTGTGTAATCATTCTCACTCTCCTTTTCTGAGTTGTTCCTCCCTCATTAACATAAACTCATTGCCCCCTTAAGGTTTCCATCCATTCTTCTGAGTTAACTATATAGGCAATTCTTAAAAGAATACAGTGTTCAAGGCAGACATTTTTTTACTGGTTAAGCTAAACTACTGTTCATTTTTAAGATGAGTTCAGGAGACATTTTTAGTTTAAGGTTTAAAGATTATCTCAGGGCAATAGTTTAAGGGGTTCATCCACACTCCATGGCTTCAGAAAGTCTGGAGTCTATGAGAATTTGAAATTCTGTTGTGCATTTTCCCCCCTCTGATTAGGATTCTTCTATGGAATCTTTGATCAAAATGTTCAGTAATGGTAGCCAGGCACCATCCAGTTCTCCTGGTCTCATGACAAAGGAGGCAGTTGTTCATGGAGGCAATTAGCCACATATTCCATATTTTCCTCCTATTTCTGACTCTCCTGCTTCCTCTGTTGATCAGGCGAATAGAGACCAATTGCTGTGTCTTAGATGGCTGCTTGCATGCTTTTAAGACCCCAGGCACTACACAACAAAGTAGGAGGAAGAACAGAAGCAGTAAACACGTTATTAGGTCCATTTACTGTAATCTCCCATGAAACCATGACCCTAAACCTCCAAACCACAGAACCAAATTCCAAGAGGTATCTGGTTGTACATAAGCAGCCTCAGCAGCTACTCTTTTTGTCATTGTTGTAAATATAGCCATCACACAAATTTTGCTAATTCAACTTTTTACAGGTGTACAACTTACTGACAGCAATTACAATAACTGGCTGTGCAATCCTACCCGTAATAAATGTGATTTTTCCGTCACTGTTAACCCCCTTTTACCCCTCCCCCCCACCCTAGTTAACAGCTAATAAACTTTGGTCTCTGGATATTTGCCTTTTCTTGTCTTTTTATGTAAGTGAGGTCATGCAATATTTGTCCTTTTGTGACTGGCTTATTTCAATCAGCATAATGTATTCAAGCTTCATTCATACTGTAGCATGTATCAAGACGTTATTTTTTTCTGTATGGGAGACTAATTTGAAATGTAAACTTCATTTAATTACATCAATTAAAAAAAAAAAAGAAATTGAAAAAAAGAAAAAAGACTATTTTTCCTACTGGCTGAGTAGCAGTCTAGTGCATGTATGTACATTTTGTTTATCCATTCGTCTGCTGATGGGTATTTAGGTTGTTTCTACCTTTTGGCTATTATAAATAGTGCTGTAACAAACATTGGTGTTCAAGTCTCTTTTTGAGTCTCTGCTTTCAAGTCCTTTGGGTATATACCTAGGAGTGGAACTGCTGGGTCATATGGTAGTTCTATTTTTAGTTTTTTGAGGTACTGCTACACTGTTTTGCACAAGGGCTATACCATTTTGCATTCCCACCAGCAGTGGATAAGGGTTCCAATTTCCCGACATCCTCGCCAACGTTTGTTATTTTGTTGTTTTTTTTAAATCTTAGCCATCCTAGTGGGAGTGAAATGGTATCTCATTGTGGTTTTGATTTGTATCTCTCTGATGGTTAATGATGGTAAGCATCTTTTCATGTGTCTGGTGGCCATGTGAATGCCCCCTTCGGTGAAATGTCTATTTAAGTCCTTTGCCCATTTTATGACTAGATTATTTACCGTTCTGTCGTTAAGTTGTTGAAGTTTTATATATATTTTGGTTATGAGATTCTTATCACATATATGGTTTCTGAAGATATCCTCCCAGTCAGTAGCTTGTCTTTTCACTTTTTTGGTAATGTCTTCTGATGAACAGAAGTTTTTAATTTTTATGAGTTCTCATTTATTTATTTTCTCTTTTGCTGTCTGTGCTTTTGTTATTATATTAGATAATCCACTGTTAAAAGCTAAGCATGACAGTGTTGTCCCTGCATTTTCACATATGCTTTTGATTAATTGAAAAATATAAGTTGAAATGAATGTGAGGTGCAGGAAGGTTGTGACAACTGTACCCCAGTGCCTAGAGCAATGTCTGACATAAAGTAAGTGCTCAATAAATATTTGTTGAATAAATGAAAGAGAGCAACATCAAAAAATTGAAAAATGACTTACACCTAATATAAGACCACTCTGTAGTCTCTTCCAATTCTGCTGTTTTTGCAGACAAATCTATATACTCAATTTCACCATGATCGTTTTTTCTTTAACAGTATTGTTCTTGTATCAGAATCTTATTTGCCAAGCCCCACTCTTCTCCTAATATAAAAAAAGATTTATCAATTTTATAAAATCTTCCTTTTCCAACCTTATTCACTAACAGTTTTATAGGTAAAATGGTACTTTTTGGTTTGTTTTGTCCTGTTCTCCTTTGTTCTTTGAACATTTACTGAACTAAATAACTATAGTATTATCTACATTTTGGTCCAGTTCCCAATTTTATACTCATTATTAAGGAGTCCTGGTGGCGCAATGGTTAAGTACTCAGCTGTTAACGGAAAGGCCGGTGGTTTGAACCCACCAGTGGCTCCATGTGAGAAAAGAACTGACCATCTGCTCCCATAAGGCTTAGAGCCTAGGAAACCCTATGCGGCAGTTCTACTCTGTCATATAGGGACAATATGAGTCAGAATCAACTCGATGGCACACAACAACAACATTAAGGCCACACTCATTATTTCATAATTAATCTGTAGATTAACTTGTCTTTGACTTCTGGATCCACTTGATTCATAATCTTTTCATTATAATAGCAAGGTCATAGGTGTTAAGTTAGGCTTCTATTTCTAATAATTTTGTCACTTTAACATTAAGTTTACTTTTTCAAACAGTACCCATTTATATAACCTTATATACAGGATGGACTATATAAACAGATTTACAGAGTCACTATTAATGTCTTTCAGGTATTCTTTATAAAAGAAAGCAGAGTAAATTATTTTTTAAATTGTTTTAAAACTTTCTATAAGTATGGGGTGGGGGGGAGCCCTGCTTTTTTGAGAATAAGTCTGGGATCATATTAGATACTGTTGAAGGTGTTAGAACTAGAAAAATAATAACTGATTAATAACTGTTGAGAGTTACCAGCAAAGCACAGCACTATAATCTGTCCACTGAGTTAATGATTAAAATATTAATTTTAAAATTTTAAAGAAATTCAGGTTATATAAACAAGGTAACAGTGACTACAGCCTTAGCAATACCTGGTTGGATGGACCTTAATCATGTCACAATCCTTGGGACATTAACTCTTTAATTCCCCTAGCTGAGACGAGAGTACTAGCTGATAAAAAGGTACAGGTATTATTTCAAGATCTAAATATATTCCCTGAGAGCCACGTTACCTGTTAGTTACTATACTACATTAAGAACAGGTCAAATCACTTGATCATAATTTATCTACCGAAAAAAATTTTTAAAAAGGCTTTTGAATCAGTATCGCTTGATAAGGTACTGCATTATATGAGGAAATATACTTACTGGGATGTAACGTTGGGACATGCTGTCCAAGTCTGTCATCTTTGAGCATGTGTAGCAGTGTTGTTTTTCCCGCATTATCTAATCCAAGAAACACTAATTTACCAGTTTTCTTATATAATCCTGTAGAGTAAGAGATATGGATTATTGCCATTTTACAGATAAGGAAACTAAAGCTAAGGTAGACAAGTAATTTGCCAAAGGTTACATAATTTATAAGGGACGTAGTGAGTAACTGAACATAGGTTTGTATAGTTTTAAAGCCTACATTCTTAACTATTGGATTTTATATGAAGAGACCCTACAGAAATAGGCACTATTATATAATAGAGAACAAAGAGCCAACATTACCTAAAAACTGCAGCACACTGCTGAAACCACTGTAAATCCAGTCAAATATGAAGGACATATCCAAATCTTATAGGGTCTGAAAAAGAAAGTTATGCATTTAGTAGTCAACATTAAGCACCAACACACGTTAAACACCAACAACATTAAACATCAACCCTTTGAGTAAATAATCCTGGAAGAATCTTACCACAAAGATTTAAACACTCTCATCCAGGCTAGACTAACCTGATCTGCCTTGATGCATAAAAAATAAAATGTCATTAAAATACTAACCAGACACTATTCTTTGCCCATCAAAATATCAAAGACGAAAAAGAAGTATAACAGCCAGGACTAGAAAGGATGTGGTAAAAGAGGTACTGTTGATTTTTTTCAAAATCAATTTGCAATAATGTATCTATTGATAACATTTGACCCAAGAATTCTACTTTTAGAAATCATCCTAAATACGGAAAAGTTTTATGTATAAAGATGTGCATCACTCAAGTGTTACTTAAGACAAATTTTGGAAATAATCTAGGTTCAACAATAAATTAATTATAGTATATATGGCCTATGGAATATTTACCAAAACCTTTTGTTATTACTAGGATAGAGGAAGGAAAAGCATAGAAAGAGCAGGGAAAGAGACAAAGGAGAAGAAAGAGGAAGGAAGGTTATGATGAAATAAAGAGTTTCCAAGTCTGATTAAACCTATGTGAATAAAAGCCTCCCCCCACACCCACCCCCACTTTTTGTTTCTTTTGGTCTTTTATGGTGGTTAGTGCCAGGTGGTAAGTTTCTGGGTTTGTTATCTTTCTGCATTTTTCAAATTTTAATCATATTACTGACTATTAAAAAACCCACTAACTCATAGTGGAAAATGCAGAGTATATAGTTAAATTTAGTATTGATTTGACATATGCCTTGATAAACTAATAGGAGCAATATGGAAAATAAGAGAAAAAAAAGCCTCTGGGGAAAAGGTCACACACACAAAAATACACTTTTGGATAAACAAAGTTCATTTTCTAGAGCTGAACAAAAGAATCCAGGCCCAAAACTTGGCCCACGTCAAAAAAGTTTGAAGGGTTGTGCTATCTTTGACATTCTTTAGACAAAGTATGACACACAACACTGCTTTCTTCCCACTCTCATGGGCTGCCAAGCTTGACAAACATGGGTCCCCCACACTCAGAATTCCTAGAGGATATGGTATCAAGAGACCACACTGCCTTGAGAGTGAGAAACACAGAGAAAAGAGAATGAGCCTACCTCATCACTTTCCAGTTTGTAAGAGATTACCTGGATCCTAGAAATAGCCTCTCCCCTCTCTTCCCCTTACTTGAACTAACATAAGCAGATTTTTGTTCTTCCAACCAGTCGAATGCTGACTAACGTGTTTGGCAAAATTATGAATCGTTTCATATGTCAGTATCACAAGAATGAGAGCCACAACAGCAGCATATATGTATATACAAGAATCTAACATCTTGGAAGTTCCTGTTTTATTCAGGTTGAAAGTTATGCCACCTTCTACTATTACCATTCTAGGTCATGTAGAAATTAAAACTCGTAGTCAGAGAGAATATACACAAGTGGCTTGTCTTCCCAGATTTTAAGGTGTGATGTATGTTTTTCAAACAGAATCATAATAACCTTCACTGCATAGAATTAAATAAAGCAGTGGTGTGTATTGAGATATTTTATTCAATACATGTTGTTATGGATTGAATTGTGTCCCCCAAAAATGTATCTCACTTGGCTAGGCCATAATTCCCAGTATTGTGTGATTGTCCACCATTTTGTCATCTGATGTGACTTTCTTATGTGTTATAAATCCTACCTCTATGATGTTAATGAGGCAGGATTAGAGGCAGTTATGTTAACGAGGCAGGACTCTAGCTACAAGATCAGGTTGTATCTTAAGTCAATCTCCTTTGAGATATAAAAGAGAGAAGGGAGCAGAGAGACAGGAGGCCTCATACCACCAAGAAACAAGAGCTAAGAGAATAGCGTATCCTTGGGACCCAGGGTCCCTGCACTGAGAAGCTCCTAGACCAGGGGAAGATTGATGACAAGGACCTTCCCCCAGAGCAGACAGAGAGAGAAAGCCTACCCCTGGAGCTGCCACCCGCACCTTGAAGCTGCCACCCGCACCTTCAATTCGTGCTTCTAGCCTCCTAGACTATGAGAGAATAAATTTCTCTTTGTGAAAGCCATCCACTTGTGGTATAGTAATGCTAGATAACTAGGACATGTTTACTAAGCAATTTCTTGCAGTGAACTCTCATGCTTTCTTTGGTTTCCACAGGAACCACCTAGTTAAGAATCTTACTGTCACATTCCCAAACTATCGTCTTAACCTCAAAATTTGTCTCTACCCACCTTGTACACTACCTCCAGAACACCCTCATCAAAATGTCATCTTGGGCTTGACATGTTGCATAGTCAGGGTGGCCCTATCTCCCAGTTTGCCAGAGACAGTCTCAGCTTATACCTGTTATTGTTGTTAGGTGCCATCGAGTTGGTTCCAATTCATAGCGATCTTATGCATAAGAGAACAAAACAGTGCCCAGTCCTGCGCCATCCTCAAAATCGTTGTTATGTTTGAGCTCATTGCTGCAGACTCTTTGAGGGTCTTCCTCTTTTTCACTGACCCTCTACTTTATCAAGCATGAGGTCCTTTTCGAGGATAACATGTCCAAAGTACATAAGACGAAGTCTCGCCATCCTCACTTCCAAGGAGCATTCTGGCTGTACTTCTTCCAAGACAGATTTGTTCGTTCTTCGCCAACACCATAATTCAAAGGCATCAATTCTTCTTTGGTTTGTTACCCCAGTGTAATTATTAGTAATGTTCCTTTCACTCCCTGATTTAGTCGATAAATTATATGGCCACGCTATACACTGTGAATGAAGAGCCACTGGAGGTTTTTGAGCAGAGAAGTGATACATACTATCAAACTCCTGGTCTAGTATTCCAGAACTTCCATTATCTACCCCTTAGCTACCTTTCCAAGCTTAACATATATTAATTCCCTATTTGTAGCCTTCCGTGGGTCAAACTGAACTGACTGCCATTCACTGCGGGTGACTTGTACTTTACCACCTTAAAACCAATGTCCATTCCCCTTCCCAACATCAGAATATTCTTCCACCATTCTGCCTGAAGTTCTCCTGCCTCAAGCACCAGCCAAAATGCTACAGAAGAAATGAGTTCTTACTTGAGATGGTATTTAAGGGATTGATGGCGATGGAAGAACCAGTGGAGCCCAGGAAGTGTAGAAGAACTAGAAGAGACTTGGAAAAATGGAAAGAAGTTACTCCTATCACATATAGCTACAGAGTGGTCACAGCTGGCTTTGGTGACAAGGAGACAATTAAGAACATGAGCAGCCTGAAGTAGAAGAGTAGTACAGGACAGCCTGTGTTAAGTGCTTAAAAGCAGAACAGAACAGAGTAAAGCCTATCTCCAGGATTCATTAACTGTGTGACCTTGAAAAGTTATAAGTTTCTTCTGCAAAATCTCTCAAGGGTTGTAAAGATCAAACGAGATAAAATGCAGAGTATTTAATACTAGGTTGCTATGATTGTTGAGAAGTGAATGCTGGTTAACAGGTGGAGGCAGTGAGGAGAGATTCCTCTTTCAAAAAGTTTGAAATTGAATGAGAGAAATAAGATTTTCTTCTTCAGGAAAGGTGAAGCTTGAATATGTTAATAAACTGAAGAGAAGGAGCTAGTGGGAAGGCAGAAGTTGAAGACAAGAAAAGAGAGAAGGAATTAACCAAATGGAAGGCACAAGGACTCAAGAGGATCCTGGATTAAGAGTACATCCCTCCCTCTAGGATTAGAAGAAAGGAGAGCCAGGAAAAGTGTAGTGGAGGTGGCAGGAATCTGACTTAAAAAGTGAAGAAGAGGTATAGAGAAATCTTGATCAACGTAAAAAAAAAAAATTGCTGTCAAGTCGATTCCAACTCATAGCGATCCTACAGGACAGAGCAGAACTGCCCCATAGGGTTTACAAGGAGTGCCTGGTGGATTCAAACTGCCGACCTTTTGGTTAGCAACCGTAGCTCTTAATCACTATGCCACCAAGGTAAAAGATTGCTAAAAAGAGCCAAGGGCTTAGCTGGGGTTGAAAAACAAACATTCACAGCACTGCCAATCTGTTTTCTCTATTCCACCATCGCCCCTCCCCCAGCAAAACTCAGCTTTCAAGAAGGTGGAGTGACTAGGAATTAGGGACTTCCAGATAGGGGCTGGAAAAGGACAAGGAGAACAGGGAGTTGAGAACACTGCAGGGAGGAGTTGAAGTAATCTGATCAGAAGTTTGGGCTGAGTGGGTAAAGGTATGAGGGCAGGGAGTGCATGGGGGTGGGATGGAGATCAAAAACAGGCTTCCCACAGAATAGAACTTGGAGAACAGGGACGAAGTCTTTAAGTCTTTAAGATGCAGCAAAAAGGTGCGAGGTGGAAGATGACCTAGAAGTGTGTCAGCAATGGAGGAGAATGTGGAGATCAAGAATTCAAGAGAGGATCAAGTCTGGGTGGTGGCAAACTCTAAGGCCTGGCTCTGGCATGGACACCTGAAGAGAACTGCAAGTGGAATATATGTGAAGCCAGGCTAACAGGGTACACTCTCCACACTAACAAGCAGTAGAATCACCTAGAAGAGTGGAGGGCATTGCTATAGAAAGCAAGATGGTGAATCAAGTAGCAAAGTTCTCAATCAAGTGGCAAAGTCTTCACTGAAGCTAACTGT